ACCAAGACAGGTTCTCCGAAATACCACGCACCATCACATGGGCCTCTTTTGATGGTAGCTTTCCTCCATGAGGCACCTATATGAACAGCCCTACACGCCCTAGACTCGACGTACGTAGAGTGAAGTCGCAAGTGGCTATGACATGTAGAAACAATCTAAGGCCTCATCTTTTCTGACGATAATCTGTATCTTCCTTGCGTTTCTTTGGGTCCGCGCTGTTGCCGCCGTGTGCTCATATATGGGGTGCTGACGGATTATTCTCTGGCCTTCCTTGAAAGTCTTAAAGCAGTCAACGTAGCTAACTGATTGCATCACCCTAACCCAAACGCGTTATTAATAAACCCACGCCCCTTAATGGGGATTATGTTAGGGATCCTAATGCTAAGGCCCTGAAAAGGAAGGGGTTTATGAATCAGGGTCTACATTAGACTCAAGAAGCCTGTATCTAGACCAAAGCTAGAGGTTTCCCAAAATTAGGGCTACCTTTCTGGTGGGCCCCCATAATAAGGACCATAGGATTTTGGGGTCCATATGGGGGTCCCCCTATTTAGGGAAACTCCCAGCTCAAGAAAGAATCTGCGGGCGAGGGCGGACATCGTCCTGCCATAGGCCCGCGTAATCTCCTCCAGGGATGGTTTAGGCATCCTTCAGGGTTTAGGGTTTAGGGTTTATCCTTCATTTGAGTAGTGTTTTTTTGGTGGTTAAACCTAGTAAGATTATATTCCTTATGTAAAAGATACCATACCCCAAAGGGAGGATAGAATCTTACTCTAGAATGGGTACTCTAGTATCCCCAAAATAAACTACCACTCATTTAGGGTTGAGAGCTCACTGCTCAAACTGGGCTCACACTCGGGTATGTCTGAAAAAACGTTTCATGCTTCTTGTTCACATATAACCCTCTAACATAGTAGTTTCCATGTTCTTTTCCTTTATCCCTATATAACCCCAATATACTAATTACAGTGGTTTCCATGTTATTTTCCGTTATCCCAATATAACCACAATATCCAATTTCCATGGAGTGGCAGCACCGCAACTTGGGCCCACCCCAAAACGATGGCATCCTCAACGCAAAACGCCGCTCATCAAGCGAACCGACACATTGAGCCATGCCGGTGGCATGATCAGAGTGGTTATGCCCTAAACCCTAAACCCTAAACCCTCTTGAGCACCTCCACCAACCCTGGACAGAATGGCGAAAATGTACTGAAATGGTCCAATGGTTGCTGCTTGAACGGGCCTTGCAAAAAACTGCGCATACCACTCTGGGCTACCTAAACCCGAAAAGTAGGTAAAATAATCGCCCAAAACAGCAAAATATAGCCCAAAAGGCCATTATTCTACATACCTTTGGGGTTCAGGTAGTGTTGAGATAGCTTTGAAGGCGCAAGGTCCACGAAGCAAATTAGGTCTCACACACCAGATCTACGCTTGCCCTAAGGGTCCAAGTACCCAATAGTCATATACTTACGCATGTACTATAATTACTATTACCCAAATCCCAAGTACCTAATTATTGTGTACTTGGACCCTTAGGGTTGTGTTGGAAGGAAGTGGGGAAGGGAAGCAAATCGCATAGCTCAAAGCGCCAGGCCTCGTTTGTGGTGGTGTTGTTGGCAATGAGGTAGCAATGAAAACAGGTGAGGTTGGCGAGGGGGAACAGCAAGCAACCTGCACATGAATCACCGTCAAGCATGTAAGTATAAAGAAAGGCCCCTCTGGCAGACCCCAAATACTCTAGCATTCAAAATCATTATCGCCTTTGTTTTGAAAGACCTCATGTGAGCCATAGTCTAAACTCCTAGTATCCCCCTTTACATTCCCTATGGTAATCCCTTACATAATCACCTATATCCACCCCTTAAGGAGTTTAGATTATGGCTCATGTGGAATGCTCTGGCAAAACATCCTAAACCCTTGGGGCAGAGCCACATGTTGAGTCCACGCGAGGTTTCATCGTTGACATCTTCGAGTCTATGGAGCCAGCATTTCAAATTTTTCCCCTAAGGGTCAAGGTACCCAATAATTGGGTACTTAGGGTTTTGGTACTAGTAGTTATAGTGCAGGTTTTGGGTAAGTATATGATTATTAGGTACTTGGACCCTTTGGGTTCATCATAGGCGCAACTCAGCAAGACAGACCCTGAATTACTGAACCCCAGATGCCTCCAATGGCAACATGTTTGAGTGCAAAGACCAAGCGATATCTACTTCACTTACAAGCACCAATAACAAGAAACGATGGTTTCAGTAAGTGCTACAGTAGAATCGCTTTGAGGCAGTACTATTTCTCGATGGATGATGGCCCTTACTTTTACTGAAGAGTTCCAGCGTCTGGGAAAATAGGCTACTAAATCAGAAGGGCCGTAATCACCCAGCCCACCCTCCAATTCGCGGACTTTTACTGCACAGTGCTGATCTCTGTCTTGGACAGTGATCTCAGGCTCTGATATAAATTTTGCTTGTGCATGCACTGGGCAGCCGTAACTTGCGTTCCCTCCTTCGCCAGCTTAGGATCACAGACTCCTCCTCGCCATAGTGGGATGCCCATTAGAGATGCCCGTGGGCTATCATTCAGGAAGAGACTTGTGCACCTACACCAATGCACTTCTCAGGTTCTCTTTGTCAACCCTTGCCAGGAAAATGGATACCGAAACAATAAATAGCGCTTCACACCAACTAGCAGCTTAGCACTCCCATAACAAACCTCTATTCTCGTAGATTCTAGCAACGTGGACCCTCAGGCCTCCGGTGCCCAGTGTGGTGAGACTTTGGCTATTTGCTGGCCCAGATCGGTTTCGACAGCGGCTAGCAAAGTTTTACCGGAGGGATGGCCTGCGCGTATGATACACCAAGCTCCGGGAGTACTCTTTGAGCAGTGAATTCTGGTTTGTGTTTGTTTGAGGGCGTGAAGCTCTGCACCAGACATGCCGGGTCGTGCTAGAAGTTGGCGGCGGGGGCTGCAGCGTCTACCCGTAAATCTAGGGGTGCAGCGTGGGTTCATAAGAGAAAACATTTAAGCTGAGAAGCGTTGCAGGTTGAAGAACTGATTTGTTCAGAACATTGTGGCGCAAGCAGATCCTTTCTCGGGGTGAGCTTGAATCGAAGCTTGCATATACCGTTTGCGTTTCCAGCCTGACTTACGTGCGACCGCATGCTTTATCAGCGGCCCCCTCCAAAATCCTGAGACTAAGCCTGCGGAAATCGGCGGTCCCAGGACAAGGCCTTGACAACCATAAGGCTCTGTCACCGTAAGATGTGATAAGTTTCAATCCCTCGTGTCCTGACATGGCACAAGTCTTAAACTTCAGTGTGCGACAGCCCGCGAAACTTCAAGACTGCATGTAGCTGTCTGATCTTTGATAGCCATCCCCACAGCTGTTCCCTAGCATCGAGATTACCAAGTTTCGGGTAATCTAGATGCGATGCTTACAAGCACATGTATTCAACCGGTACAGTGCAATACCTCCTAACAGGGATTCCGGGCAAAAAGTTGTAGAGTTCCCACACTCCTAGACAGTACACTTCTGGATATTGGGGACTTCCAACCACAAGGAGGTCTAGGCAATACACCCTGAAATCGTATAGTCCTCCTCATTCTCGGGACCAACCGAAGCGGGACTCCTAATTTCTGGATACCTGAAGCATGAGACCGCCACGAGCTTCACGGCTCTTGCCATGTTCCCAGCCGTCCAACCAATGCCTGCAAGAACGGGCTACTTGAAGAGTCAGGGTGCCCTAGTAAGTAGGTAAGGGTTTAGGGTTTAGGGTTAATAATGCGGATAACTTCTCATATGGCTTATAGGGTTTTCAACCTACTTACCAAGTTCCCCTGGCCCTCCAAGTAGGCCATAGAATGTAAAATCAGAAGTAACCCCTCTGACGGAGAATCAAATGGCAATGTCCCTAAACCCTAAACCATACATCCTAAACCCAAAGCCCTAAACTAATGATAGGAAAAATGACATAGAAACTGTGGGGTTGATAGGGACATGTAGGTAAGAAGATTTTGGGATCCCAACACATACAAGAAGGGCTCTATAAGAGTCGAATTATAATCATAGGGCCCTTATTTAGGGAGGCTTGGGGCAACTTAAATCAGCCTGTTAATGAATGCACTTATATTAAATGTACATTTGGGGTTGGGTTACGGGGCATAGTATAACCCATAAGGATAATAGGCAAATTGTGCTGGCAACTATTCAGGCTTCTCCAATTCTTCTCCATCCGGTTTGTAGGGCAACTTGGGCGCGGAGTCGCCCAGAAGCGGCAGGCACACATGATTAACCAAGGGATGAGAAATGACATCATGATCTGATTTATAGTATATTGGAGGAATATTGGGATAATAAAGGGAAATATAGGGCTGAATAGGGATCATGGGAAAGAGAATGGAAGCATTGTTGGAAGATGATGGTTTCAGACATCTACCATGGGCTTCTCAATGTCTATCATCTACTGATGCAAGGGTCTGAAGGTCAACAACAAGAAAAGCCTATAATGCCTCAACTCCTAACCCCTAAGCCGCGCAAATCTCAGGCCCTGATTTGACCTATAGCCTGAACCCCAAACCCTACAATCCCCAATCGCTAAACTGTACAACGTATGAACCCTATATCTAATCCCTAAACCCTGTAATTGCCAAACCCCATGATCCCTGAATCAGAGAATCCCTACAACATGTAATCCTTGCACCTTGAACACAAATGCCTATAACCCTTCAACCCTTAACCATCCGTATTATCCCCAAACCCTAAATCCTAAACCTAAATCCTAAACCCTAAGCCCTAAACCCTAAATGCTAGACACTAAATACTAAACCCTAAGCCCTATAAACCTTAAATGCTAAACCCTAAATACTAAACCCTAAGCCCTAAACCCTACATGCTAAACCCTAAATACTAAACCCTGAGCCCTAAACCCTAAATACTAAACCCTAAATACTAAACCCTAAGCCCTGAACCCTAGATCCTAAACCCGGGTACTCCCGAAAGGGCCTCAGCCCTGAAGCGCTTTTTCCTCCACGTCTGCATGGAAGTCGTTCAAGAACTTGGTCAGGACCTGCCACCAACCAGGTGGCCGGGTTTAGGGCGCTAAGCCTAAAAGAATTAGGGTTTTAAGACTAAGGGCTTAGGGTTTAGGACTTCAGGATTGAGGGTTTAAAGCGACCACGAGGATTTAAAGCGCTAAGGCTTCAGGGTTGAGGGTTGAGGGGTAAAGAGTTGAGGGATATGACCCCACTAAACCTAAACCCTAAACCCTAAATCCTGGGTGTCATGTATACTGGTCTTTTCGATGGACTATAGGATATTACCAAGTTTGCCCCCCTGAAGTGCAAAGTTCGGCTTTGGGTTCCATGTTGAGATCTAGGGTTTAAGGTTTAGGGCTTGGGTTTTAGGGTTTAGGGTTTAGGGTTCAGGATTTAGGGTCTAGGATTTAGGGTTTAGGGTTGAGGGAATGCAGCAATTGTATTCAACGATGACCCAAGTTTGCGGTTTAAGCTTTGGGTATGGGGCTTGGGGTCCCTAAGCCCTAAACCCTAAGCCTAAACCCTAGTTGGGCATTCAGGTATGCTGAGATTGGGGGAACTTCAGGGATCTTCCCCAAACTCTCGGAATTCTCACACTAGGGAGCACCTTTGGGGACCCTAGCCAGATATGTGCGCCTCTTGGGGTCCGTATTAGGGATTCTATGGGGTGCAATAAAGCTCCAAGTTTCCAATAGGGATTATCCCCATAGGCCTTCGGGAAAATTGGCGAACTTTGACCCTAAACCTTCAACCCTAAATCTTAACCTTTAGGGTTTTTGGTTTAGCGGCTTTATCAACATGATGGGTCAGTTTCAAAGTGTTCCTTAAAGGAGGGCCATCTTGTGGAGGTATAGAGGTGCACACTAGCCAAAACATGCTTTCAAGTATGCCTCGCGAAGCTGTACACTTCCTCACCCCCACCCACACATACATCATCCTCCACCCTATATAAACCCAAGGTTACATGTCATTGCCCATGTTCTTTCCTATATTTGACTCTCCATATTTGGGGTATCCCAAAGCGTTGGCCAATTTCTTTACCTCCAAACCCCCAATGGACAAAGTCAAGGGCCCAAGGAGGCTGTCTCCATTCAAGGTATGCCTTGCGTCTTTGTTGGCTCATAACCCCCCTTAAGTAGATAGAATATGGGGTATATGGGGATCTTATTACAATATATACCCAAAGCCATATTCTATTTACTTTTGGGGACCATAAACCCTGTTTCCACTACGGCCGGGTGTAATCATTCAGGATGGTTGATAGCACGACTGGCCTTAAGCGAGTAAGAAGCCTTGATAGGCCAAGACCTGCAAAAACCACAACGATACCATCTCCAAAGCACAATCCCAGAGGGTACATAAAAACAACTATTGGGGAACTAGGCCTCAAAATACCATACTATAGAAGAAATTATGGGTCCCAATTCCCCAATGGTTGTATATGTGGACCCTCTGGGAATAACAGCAACAATGCAATTTCAATTGTCATCCTCAAACCTTGTTTAAACAATGCCTCCTCAGGAAAATCACAGATACACCCAGTCTCCATGTATTCCATGTTCTTGTTCATTTGATTGTCCACTGCGGCAAATCTGCACATATCATGCAATCCTCCACCCTAAATCCTACACCCATCTTATGGTAACCCTATACCCTAAACCCATACGCCCGTGATCACGCACTTTTTTCCCTTGCCCGCCTCCACCACCGGATCCTGATGGTTGATGCGCGCATCGTGCTCTTGGTTGGCATCCTGCCATGGCGTGACATGACACTGTTGGTAGGAGGGTTCAGGGTTTAGGGGTTCCGGGTTTTAGAGGTTTAGGGTTTGGGAGTTTAGGGTTTGGGGTTTTAGGGTTAAGGGATTTAGGGGTTAGGGTTTAGGGATGTGACCCTTCCCCACTAAGCCGCATGAACCCTTGAGCTTCAGGATGTCTGAGGCCATTTTTCGGCATCAGCAATATCTGGGTTTCCACACTAATCGGTCTGCTTCATATACCCCCTAATGCTATGTCTATGATCCTGTTGTAGGGCCCACAATTGCATCTACTTAGGGCCCAAAGGTTGTCAAATATAACTGCCTTAGGGCCCGAACATACACCATGTAGCTACATGGACCCTTCGGCGTGCATCGCAAATCCCTAGAAGACTGGATTTGCAAGTTCTGGCTCGTCACTGCTTGCAGACTATTACCCAAATCCCAAGTACCCAATTATTGGGTACTTGGACCCTTGGGGAACCCTGTCAAGGCCTCTTCCAGGCCCTCCAAGCATTTCTCGCAGCTGCCGACAACGACGTCGTGCCTTCTGCTACCAGGCTTGCTACTTTAGGGGTTAAGGTTTTAGGGTTTAGGATTTAGGGTTTAGGGTTTCTACCAGCGCCAGGGGTCCTATGAAATCTTGGGCTGCAAAATACCGTGATATGAAGGCCTTTGGGCACAACAGGTTCTGGCTACCATGAAAGGCCTACTTTGCATAAAGGCGCACGTCTTGGGACCCTCCGTTTAAGCGCCTCACCCAAGCATGCGCTGATCCTTTCATGATATCATCAACCTCTCTGCAGCGAATGCTGCTGAAAATGGGCATTAAGCCCAGGTTCGGTCACAGAACACAGGGATCTTACATCTACGTGTCCTTGTAAAGAGGATCTGGTAGATGATAGGGTGTGTACTCTTCTCATACTGCTGTAAACCCTATGCCCTATATCCCCACAAGCGCCAAAGCCATACACTTCTAAACCAGATCTCAACCAGATCTAAACCAATTTCTTATGGGCCCGCGGGAATGGGCCTCTTCTCCAAGCGGTCTGCTTCTCTTGTCCATTCCTGGCAAAGGCTGGGAGTCCCATGCTTACAACTGCTTTCCGCGCAACACAACAAAAGTAACAAACGCACAGCTGACACCAAGTATACATGCTGGCTCAACACATACATACATAGATTATGTGTCATTAGTCAGTTGTGTGCGCATGGATACAAAAAACACCATAAATGTCTTGCTTGCAATAGTCTGAGTGCAGGTCTACAGTCTATTTCACTGAATGGGAGGCAATTGCCTGAACTACGCGGACGTGTCCCAAAATGAGGGATGAGTGAACACAGAAATTCTTAAGTCAGAATCTCAAACACGGTTTCAGGCACTCAGCCGTTCAGACTTGTGTGTGGGGCCTGACTCGATGGTTGACCAGTATGCCAAGGTTATTGAGTACCCAACAAGGGCAACTGGAGTTTAGGGTCTAGGTAGTGTCAAGCACAGTGAAGAGCCCGCACTTCTCTGCTTGACTGCTTACGTTGTGCCCTTAGGCTTCTGCAGCTGTAGCCTACATGGCTCAAACCCTACAGTACATCATCCACTATATTAAGCTCCCTATGTCAGTTGACTGGGAATACGATTCCGGCTGTGACTTTTCTGATTTCCAGCGGTCCATACCGTCAAGGTACCAAGCTTGGGGTTACGTTCAAGGAGATTGCGCCCCCATGATCGCCAGTATCATTAAATCATGGCCCCAGATTTAGTATAGGCTACCTCAAAATGATATGGACCACTATCTTGGCCCCTGCATCTTGCTCTTGCAAGGTCCATGGTTCCATTGTGCTGCGGATGACGATGGGCGGACCTCTGACTTGGAGTAATACAAAATGATACCCTAAACCCTAAGCCGATTAAGCCCTAGCCCATAACCTTGTCAATTAGGTTGGGCCCCCACCCACCAATAGTGACCACAAGAGATAATTGTAATTATACTAAGGTCCTCATATATCCCGAGGATACCGCTATTAGTGGGTGGGGCCGGCCCAACCCAACTTGTCAACCAGTTCCAGGTGTAAGTTTAAGTTTGCCCACCAGGAGTAGCAGCCTGGGCCATCAGGATACCAAGAGTATCTTACTGGTTCTCAGTAGAGAATCAGGGAATAGAATCCCTATATGTAACCCCTATTATTCCCAAGAAGCAGTAAGCCAGAGCATGTTAATAAGATCTCACTGGTTACCGACAACCAAAACTACCATGCAAGTGCTCACTTTGTTCCCGCCATGCCGCTTACTTCAGCAGTTCTACCCTCAACCCAGGCTGAAAAAAACCATGTGAGCTACTGTCTAAACTCCTAGTATCCCCCTTAATAACCCCTATAATAGTCCCCTATATAATCCCCTATGTAACCCCCTTTAAGGAGTTTAGACTATAGCTCATGTACTGTTTCATGTTTTTTTTACTGATTCTCCATTAACAGAGCTGGGGTAACCCAAATCCCCTGAGTAAGTATAATACCCTAAACCCTAAAACTGGACTACACTCTAACTGAACGCCGAAGCTTGGCCTCTTCGCAGAAAGTTTGCCGTTGCCGCCGCGCAGCAAACTCCGTGTCCACCGACTGCTCGAGGGCCTCCACAGCCTTGCGAAAAGGCACATTTGAAAGGTTGTTCTTTTAAATAGGGTTTAGGGTTTAGGTGGTTGCCCACCTAATTTTGGGAGAGTTGATCTTTATAAAGGAAGGGGGTGACTATCGCAAAAGGTTTGAGATCTTGGGCTTAAGAAAGGCACCCCTAAGGTTTGAGGTCCGGCCACTCGTTTTGAAGGTTTCGGGTAAGGGTTTAGGGTTTAGGGTTTCTGGTTTAGGGTTTTGGGGAGTTGGGGACACTCTGAAAGTGCCTTCAGGGTGGAGAGTCTAGGGATAATTGATCGGGAGCGGACATTTGGGCATCTCTCACAATGGGCATCTCAAACATAAGGTCCCCATATCTATATGCATCATCATGCTGTACCCATTATGTAAGGCCCTAGGTGGGATGTACGGCAATGCCTGGCGCTCAGAAGAGGGGATAACAAAAGAGGACATCTTGAAGGGCTTCTCGTGACGGCTTGTAATGTAGTGATGAGGGTTTTGGTGGTGCATCATGAGAATACGCAAGGATCAGAATTGCCGGATCCGTACTTGAGGATCGAATACATATATATATATATACACCGTACCTGTGGTATCAACTGAGGCAAACGTGTTGCTGTGACAGCAATGGTGCCAGAGTGTCATGTTGCGCACTAAGGTCCCAGTACCTACTCACACGATGCTTTCACGACTGGGGTGACGCGCTTTTCTGCTCCGTGCTGGAGAAAAAATTGCAGAAATCATTCTAATCAACATTCGCTATAGCCCAGACTGCCTGCAGGCCAGATCTAATCAGGTGCTTAAAGACTCTTCAAAGCGGTGCATCATGCACAAGATCCTCGTTACCACATGCTGACTTCCTGACAAAGAACACAGTTGCAACTCGACCTCAACGCGTCAACTCTACTCAACCCATGTGACGCCCTCACTCAAATTCCACATATATCCCACAATGTAGAGACACACGTGGGCTCCATTGAACCTCATTAGATGAATCCATGCACGTCCTGAAGCAGACTTCGGGAGCCTGTCCTCTACTCTCCAACTCAGAAGACTTCCAAAGTAGACCTTGACTTTTCCTAAAAGCCCTGGCCCTGAGCCCACCTAAGCCCTGAACAGGGGATCCCATTAAGCCCAAAAAGAGAGCTTGGTTTTGCTCAATGAGGCAATTCCTTATTGTATCCGGTGCTCAGGGTTCTGCAGAGCTGTTCTCGTTGATGCTAAAAATTCTACATAATCTTAGAAGAGTATATAGTACCTCAATTCACAAGGTGTAGGGTATTTAGGTTCATGAACGATTTTTGCATCCACCGCGGTATCAAACGTAAGTGCAGCTGCGTTTGCATTTTCTTGGCCTGCTCCATGGACTGCTGAATGAAGGCGGCGCGTGTCTGCGTGGGGATCAGGCTGGGAAAATCATCCTTTCATAAGCTATAGTGAAAATGGCAGTTTATTCTGCAGGGGAGTACTTCACAAGCTGTTACTCGCGGGATTTAATCCAATGTCAGGGTACCTTTTGGGCAGTTTCTCAGTACTAGCCTGGCAGCAACTACGGTTAATCCTGAACCTGGCGAACTCGTTTACAAATCTTGCCCTGATCAGGTTGGTCGACTGGGGCGCCATGTTTGCTTAGGAACCTTGGCTTTCAGGCTAAGATGCGAAAGAGTTATACCGCAGCTATGTAAGAATCATAAGGACATGCTTTTCCTCAGTCTAAGTTTTCCTCAGTCTAAGGGCCTCCACTGTACCGCTTTAAGGCGCTGGTTCTTCTGCGGGCTTTAGGGTGTCTTAAGCTTGCAGAGTATGGCGATTGTTTGTGTTTAGGGTTTAGGCATGCTTTCCATAAGATTCAGTACAAGAATAGAATCAGAAACAACAAGCACCAATTCTCACAAGCCAGTTCTGAACCTTATCTACGTAAGCCCATCAACCGTTGAGCTGAACAAAAGCTAGTGCATGTCAGTAAAACGCGAGCTATACCCCCACCTAGTATCCAGTAGGAGCTTCAAAATGCAAGATCGTAGATGACTCTGATCCAAGAGAGCCTATAAATCCCTTTCTTTGTCTCCCAGCAACCCTAATCAGCCAAGATGGCACTTTTTTGAATCTGGGCCGAGCTGTCTTGGCTCCAGAATCCAAGTGCATCGTGCTTGAATTCACGTTGATACGAGGTGTCCCAAAACGTACCTAAAGCATGGAAAGGAGGAACGTGGGAGCTACTGCGGCCACATGGTTCATAGGCGGAGCAAGGCAGATTAGCCTGTAAGGAGTTGGGTTTAGATTAGATGGTCTGCCGCCGCAGGAATGACTCGAACGCTGAGCATGGCGTCGTTGGAGGCTTGGGGTCGACTTCCCACACGAAAGAAAGACTGAAACGATTCCGATCCCTGAAGAATGAATTTAAGCATCTGAAATGGACGGCCGGGGACGACAGGCTTGACTGCAGGGAACGCGGCTCTTCTGATCTTCCAAAGATTGCACTTTCCCAGGACATTTATGGACACATGTTGCTGCAACGCCTACTAGATGAAGGCTAGACTGCAAAGTGTTGAAAACAAACCCGCAGCTGCGAGTTGCTGTTAATGATTTGACGCATCGTTTTGCCGCTCCTCCAGGTACAGCATGGTAGGCTAGGGGATTAGGTTGAACCATCAGGGTGTAGTACCAGAATCCTGGAATGCCACGTGCCAGTGAAACTGTAGAATTTGGTGTCTAAGACCTGTGAAAACTTTAGTGCTGGGACACTTCAGGTGAGTGCCTGCAAACTTTCTTGAGAGGCTTGAGGCACTGGGCGCTAACAAGTTGTAGCGCCCTCTTGCCCAACTCTACTTACTGGTTCTTAGCAGGGGATATGGGAATATAATCTAAATATACTCCCTAACTAATGTATTCCCATATTCCCTACTCTCCACCAGTAAGTCTCAGGGCTCCAAGATCTTCCTCGGATTTTGGGGCCTTCCTGCGGCCAACTCTCAAAGGGCGCGGCGATGATGACGTAGAGCTTCAGGTGAGGAGGCAGGCCGCTGAAGTCCTGCCGCCAGGTAGCAGGTTTTCCCAAAGGGCGCCAGGTATCTCTTCAGTATATACTAGGACCAAGAAGGGTTGCCATATAAGTACTTTAGGGCCTTTAGGGCCCAGGAGTATACCATATAGCTACATGGACCCTTTTGGGCTTGTTTACAACCATCAGGGATCCAAGAACTTGAAGGCCAAATAAAAGGCCGTAGCAAGGCATGTGAAGGGATGATATATCCGATACCCCGAATCGCTTGGTTGAGAAGCCCCAAACAGGTCATTCCAGACACTTCCTAGTTGATGTGGCCAGGCATTGATTGGGAAGGTCTCCAAACTGCGCACTGCTTGTAGTATGCTGTTGCGGACTCTAGGATGTTCGCATAGCTGCAGATATCCTGACTGCTACACTGTATGTGTCCTGAAAAGCCCCACTGGAGCAACATCTTTTACAGTGCGGCTTTGCGATGGGCGCATACTTCTCGGACACACAGGAGCGCAGATGACCACTGGTAAAAGCCTACATAAGGCTGCGCGCAGATACTCTGGCCATTTGCTTCGCATGTGAGCCTACAGCCTTTAGCATTTTCCATCTTCTCCATTTTGAACGGTCAGGAAAAAGAAAACTGCAGCATCGACAAGATCACACTTGGCACGCAACCCTCACAGCTCGAGACACCTTTTTGCTACCAGAGGATCACATGGTGCCAAATTGGAGGCGTCCATCCTACTCTTTCTAACCATCCAAGCGGGCTCAGCGTGGGCACACGTCGTCCAGCAGCTGTGCTAAACTCGCTCCCCAGATCGCCCAGGACACCTCGCTGGAGACTTGTTCCAATCTATCCGAACGAATGTACATTCTCTTGCGCTGTTTCTGTTTAAGGGGGAAATGGTTAAGCGGCTGGATGGCACAACTTCTGGCATCTGTCATGCGTGCTAGACGGTCTGCAACAGGATTTTGTACGAAGCACCTCGAAGAAGACTGGCTGAACGCCATTTGACGCTCTCTCATGCTGATCGTAGTTTACAAATCCCCCCTCAATTCCTCGTACCTTATCGTTTCCTTATCGGGCCTGAAGCATTTCAATAAAGAACAGCTGTTCAAGCCTGAGTTCCCCCGACCCAAGGCACGCATGATCTCCTGCGTGAGGTTCTCCTGGGTTGCTGTTAAGGA